TTCAACTTACCCCAATGTACCTCGATTAAAGATATTGTTTCGCGTAAGAAACGAAATGTAGATTATCCGCTATTGCTAGTGGTAACTCAATTGCGGCAACTAACTTCACAATTCCCGTTCGAGCATTCTCCTCCAAATACATCCACGTAAAAAGTGGTGTAGTAGTAGCATCTGTGCCTAGACTACCAAATTCTAGTTGCGTTTGACCTACAGGAAGAATATCATGTTTGGCCGCACATGTTTTGTAGTGATAGTTGAGGTTGGTGGTTCAAATATTTTTTTGTCATGTCAATCATTATTGACAGTATTTACATACTGTTTTGGTTTCTGAAACTCTATCGACCACACAACCAGTTTGAACCAATTTAAAATGGTCACAACATTTTACTTGCTTTTTCCCTTTTCTCTTCCCTTTTGCATCGGGAATATCTAATACAAGTTCATCATCATCTTCCAAATCAATTGGATGACTAGCATCAACATCAACGTCATTCAAATCAATTGGATGACTACTTTCATGAGCATCGAAATCCTGAATATTTTCTGAAATGGGTAATTCATTTGGACCGACGAATTCATTCCCAAATTGACTGTGGGGGTGTGACAGGTGATTCGCCTCCGACACCGAACAAGTTTTCAACTAATGAGCGTGGATCCATTTGTGATTGGAAATTTGTAATGAGATAATTGGTATTGAATAACTGAAATTGAATGTTGAAGTATAATTGAGAAGTGAATGTAGATTATGTAGTAGTGTAGAAAGTCGATTAAAAATAAAATGTAGAAGAGTATAAAATAATATTGAAATGTAGAGAGTATAGTAAAAAATGAGAGATTGATAGTAAGTTTGGTGGAAAAAAAATGGAGAATGAATGAGTATTTATGGAGGAAAATGAAATTGAAAAAAATAATAATTAATGACCGAAACGGTCACTGAAAAAAGTTAGTGACCGTTCTCATCCTCTTTTTATTTTTTATTTTTTTTGTGAGCCACGAGCCGAGCCGGCTCATGGCTCGCATATTACACGAGCCCACGAGTCGCTCGGCAAGCTGCTTGCCCAGCAGCTCAGCTCGTGCTCGGGCTCGTCTTTTTTACGAGCCCGAGTAGCTCGTGGCTCGTTTTTGACGATTTGAGTGGTCGAGACGACTGCCGCTCGACTCGATTGCCACTCCTACCTGAAATAATAACAATGATCAAACATCTAATTACAATTTACATATCAACCTTCGCTAATATATGACTTTATACAAAAAGAAATATGTATAAAACTTCCACCTTGAAGAAAGAGCACGAAGGATCCCCGTGATCGCCACCGTCAAATTTTCTAACAATAAATAAAAAATACGAAACCCCAATTTACAATCTTCTCTAAAGGTTATAGAAATATATTTTTACAAAATCAAGTAACCTTAATTCTTGCTAAAACAACTCAAATGACCAAGACAAGTTTACGGACAGAGGACACAAGCAAAGACTTCCTCCAAGCTACAAAAGCAAACAAACAATTAAGTATTAACATCTTCGTGACAAAAATACCTAAACACCCTGAATAATTGCGATTGACAAAAAAAATCATCAAACTTGTTTATAATATAAAATGTATTTATTTTTACTTAAAAATCTAATCCCCCGTTTGATAACCACTATTTCAAAACAATTAAATTTCCATTTTCATTTTCAAACACACATTTACACAATAAAATTTTTTTTTCCTATTTTTTAATAACACTTTCTCAAAAAATCATTATTTAAAACTTAATTTTCTCAAAATAATGATAGTCAAAACAATGAATTATTAACTACTAAACTGGCTTGTCAACTATGCAAAAGTAGTTGGACTATCATGATAGCGGCCCATCACGACCAACATTTTCTGATGCGTTGGGCTGGTTATAAAATAGTTAGGCCCAATAGGACCCAATAGAATTTGTTTATTTATGAGAAAAAATTACATATAATAAATCTTTGAAAATACTACATAACATATGGAAATTCCATAAATACAGGATATTATACAACAAAAGATTAAAATTACAGATCTCCTAAATTTCTCTCATTTTTTTTAACTGAAACCAACCCCGTTCTCTTCTAATGCGGAAGAAATTCCGTGACTACAGTTTGTTAATATTACATTATATAGAAGATAGCTCAATTATTCATGATATGACACATGTTATGTGAAGGAAAACTCGAACCATGATACTTGCAAGGCGTGTTATTAGTAGACACGTCAAGCGATGAACATCGCACATTATTTCATATCAAATTGTGGGTCATCAGTGCACATATGGAATCCAGATTCAAATGTGTCATGATGTAGTGTAACTTTTAAACTTGCTCAAACTTTGATGGAGGCTGGTGAGTGACACTCTTTTATTTAAGTAGGAAATAAAAAATACGAAACCCCAATTTACAATCTTCTCTAAAGGTTATAGAATTATATTTTTACAAAATCAAGTAACCTGAATTCTTGCTAAAACAACTCAAATGACCAAGACAAGTTTACGGACAGAGGACACGAGCAAAGACTTCCTCCAGGCTACAAAAGCAAACAAATAATTAACATCTTCGTGACAAAAATACCTAAACACCCTGAATAATTGCGATTGACAAAAAAATTCATCAAGCTTATTTATAATCTAAATTGTATTTATTTTTACTTAAAAATCCAAACCCCCATTTGATAACTCTTATTTCAAAACTATTTAATTTTCTACAACACATTTACACAATAAATTATTTAGCATGTAAATTCAAAAATTTTTCCTATTTTTTAATAATATATTCTCAAAAAATCATTACTCACAACTTCATTTTCTCAAAATAATGATAGTCAAACAAGGAATTATTAACTACTGAACTGGCTTATCAACTATGCAAAAGTAGTTGGACTATCATGATAGAGGCCCATCATGACCAAAGTTTTCTGATGTAGTGGGCTGGTTATAAAATAGTTAGGCCCGACAGGACCCAATAGAATTTGTTTGTTTATTTATTTATGGGAAAAAATCACATATAACAAATCTTTGAAAATACTATATAACATATGGAAATTCCATAAATACAACAAAAGATTAAAATTACAGATCTCCTAAATTTCTCTCATTTTTTTTTTAACTGAAACCAACCCCGTTCTCTTCTAATGCGGAAGAAATTCCGTGACTACAATTTGTTAATATTTTATTATATAGAAGAGAGCTCAATTATTCATGACATGACACATGTTATGTGAAGGAAAACTCGAATCATGATACTTGCAAGGCGTGTTATTAGTAGACACGTCAAGCGATGAACATCGCACATTATTTCACTCAAATTGTGGGTCACCAGTGCACATATGGAATCCAGATTCAAATGTGTCACGATGTAGTGTAACTTTTAAACTTGCTAAAACTTTGATGGAGGCTGGTGAGTGATCATGATGTAGTGTAACTTTTAAACTTGCTGAAACTTTGATGGAGGCTGGTGAGTGATGAAACTTTCAGTTTGGTACCCTGTTCCACCACATCAATAACATGAAAATTCCATTAATGCTACAAAATAAAGTTAATTTTGGTGTGCAGGAGGAATGTCCATGTCACATTCTATTACTAAAAAATGGAAATGAAATGGGCAGTTCTTCCATGCTTAACCCCGGTTTGGTGGTAATTAAAATTTGATTTTTTATAGATTTTGATAGAATCTGATGAAATGTGTGGTTAAAAAGTTGTGAGACCCGTAAAATATGTTATTAAGGCCTTGTCTGGAGTTGATTTTTGTATACACAAAAACTGATCTTCGGACTGTTGGATGTAAAAAAAATCGCAAAAATTGAGCTCAAAATCAGCTCCAGACAAGATTTAAATTAATTGTTGACTTTGATTTAGATTAAAACGCATACAAGAAAATTCTGATGAAAAATAAAATAGTTACCTAAGATTGATAGTATTGCTCTATTTTTCTCTTCTTTGAACCCGAATCAAGCAAATACTATTTCTATTGAACTTGAATATAGGGATTACACAAAATCAACAAAGTGAGAGACGGTAACTTTTACTAACTCATATCGTCGTTTATGAAGAAAATAAATGTGAAATGTAAAATTGGGATACTTTTAAGAAAAAAGTGTAAGTAGTGTAATTTTCACCTTATTTATTTTCTTGTTTTTTAGTTAATTTTCTAAAAAAAAACGAATCAATAAAGATTTACGTAAAGCTAGCTTGCAGGCATCAACGGCAAGTGCCGACGTGAACCCTCTCTCTGGATAGGTCAACGCCTGGCCAAAATGATCTAGTTTGGCCCAAGCTTTGTCTAATTTTTTTGCCAATTATAAGAATTTAAAAATTGTATTGAGTAACATAAAAATCACATGAATTTTCGATTAAACGTAAAATGTTTAAACTATGATAAACTCATAGTTGATCTGGGATTTTTCATGTGCATGCAAAATTACACACATATATTTCCAAAAATCTTTAAAAAAAAAAAACTAAATTCTCTCGAGGATTCCGTAATCAAATTTTCATAGTTGAGCACTTGAGCTGTCTCCAACCAATGACTAAAAACTTTCACATCCCAAGAATATTACCCATGTCACGACACGTGCTGCACATTTTCAAAAGCAATTATATTAATTAATTAATTTCTTTTTTAAAGTTAGTTAATAATTTAAGCCCCAAGTGCTATGTCGAACTTGATGCCTTCTCGATATATTTTTGACAACTTGATCTATACACCATATTTGGTATTAATTTAAATCAAAGTCAAATAATCAATATTAATCACATATTTTATGGGTCCCACAACTTCTTAATCACACATTTTAATTTTTTAAAATTAAAATTTATTGAAAAATTAATTTTAATCCTTACAAAGACGTTAATGTGAAATGTGCTATGATGTCAAAAATTGATGAATACATTGAATTTTCAAAAATGGAAAGGGAAAATAGCATATGATTTTCTTAAGGTCAAAATTCATAATATATATAGTCAATGCCACGCTTTCCTTCACCGCACTAATGGAGCAACAAAAGAAGTGGGAAGCCAAGGTTTCAACGAGGCTAGAAAATGCAAGTTCAGACCAAATATGGCCTCTTCTGGAAGACTTTTTTGGCCTCCACAAATGGTTCCCTGGCCTCCCCACTTGCTACGGCATTCACGGCAGCAACGGCGAGCCAGGTTGCGTCCGCTACTGCGCCGGATTTTCACTGCCGTCCATGGACGGAGCCACTGTGAGTTGGTCCAAGGAGAAGTTGATAGAAATTGATCACGTTGAAAGGAGATTAAGCTACGAGATAGTGGACTGCAATACTGGGTTCAAGTCATATGTTGCAAGCATGAAAATTATTCCGGCGGCAGATTGCGGCGGCTGGCAGATGGAGTGGCAGTTTGAGGTGGATCCGGTTGTGGGGTGGAGATTGGATTGTGTACAAAAGTTGATGTGCAAATAAAATTTTCCTTTTTGTTTTGAGTGGAGATTTGAGATGGATCCGGGTGTGGGGTGGAGATTGGAAGATTTGGTGCCCAAGTATGAAATTGGGCTGCAACTGATGGTTAAAAAGATGGAAGTTTCCATTTCTGATTCTTGTTGAGATATATCTTATATGAATCATTTTTCTTCATTGTCCTAATTTCGTTCTTTAAAATTTGAAGAATTGGCGAGTCGTGGGACAATCCAATCCTCAAATTTGGAAACATTCGAGTCTAAACCAAAATCATATTTTTAGACAGGCCAATTCAAACCTATAACATGCCCAAATCGAGTTTGGTTTCGCACCTCTAGATTGCATGTTTTGAACTTTGTTTATGTTACGCTTCCTTATTTTCCACGGTTACGTGTTATGTTCCATATTTTACATGAGTTATGTTACCTTTTTTGTCACACTTTTGTATACAATTTGTTACATGTAAAATAATTTGTTAGTTTTTGCCATTGCAAACCTTTGAATTCGACTTCATTACCACCATTACTCAATCTAGTGGTGGAGACAAGTTGGGGCAAGTGAGGCTCCCAATAAAATATATGATTATTTATTAATATTACTATATTTTGTGCTTAAAAAAAATTCGTTATTAATTTACGCCTCCTCGAGTTTTATGTCTATATTCATCCACCATCAATTCCCATCACCACCCCCGTTCCCCGCCCGGCCTAATGCCCCAAATCTCATGAGCACAAGCATCAGAAATCCCAATGCCGAAAATCAGGAAATGAGCCATCCAATGAATTAATATGTCAAATCCGAATCCATCTCCATCAACAGTAATAGCTGCACCACCCTGCAATCAATCACGGCCTATTTCCACCACCATGGCAACAACCATGCATTTGGATGGTCCAGATTTGGTCTTCTATTCCATGTCGCTTGTAACGGTTAAATACCATATTTTGACTAAACCACTTCATAGATTCAATTTTTGAGTTGCCATTGTTGATTAGTGACCATGGCAACAACCATGCATTTGGATGGTCCAGATTTGGTCTTCTATTCCATGTCGCTTGTAACGGTTAAATACCATATTTTGACTAAACCACTTCATAGATTCAATTTTTGAGTTGCCATTGTTGATTAGTGATTACTATCTACCCTTAACTTATATATGTAACTTAAGATTATTTTATGCGATCGACATAGTATATATAGGAGAATTTGACCGAATTAATTTAGTCAATGAAAACACAATTGGACTAAATTAATTTTTGCATGCCAAGGTAGACCAATATTTTCAATAAAACTTACTCAATTTCTCTGGGCATTCCAACTACGACTTAAAAAATATTTGCAAGCCAACTTTGACTATTGACCCCTAAAAATATTTATTTAAATAAAGACTCAGAATTTCCTTTTTTTTTTTTTTCAAACAATTACAACTCGACCCATTTTCCAAACTCTCTAGATCCACCTTGTACGCTCCGTCGAATATAAAATTTCAATTAAAACTTAAGCTCGTGCCTGGTTTTTATTAAAATTCGGAATTTTATATTTTGATATAAATAGATGAAGTATACGATTAAAAATTGTAAATTCCATAAAACATATGATTTAAAATGAGTTTAAAGAAAAATCAATTTTAAAAAACAGAGGCCAAACACGACTATTTAACCCATCAATTTGTAAAAATAATATCAAGAAAAAAGTCTTTAGTCAAGAATGTCACGCTGCCTTAAGAGAATCACACATTAATTAATTACTTTATATCCTATCATTCAACTTAAACTTAATTAATTATTTAAGCACTAGCTATTATTTATACTCACTAGCAAGCTCCCTTTGAATCACTCACCAAAATGGCGGAACAAAAGAAGTGGGAAGGTACAGTTTCAACAATCCTAGAAAATGTAAACGCAGACCAAATATGGCCTTTTTGGAAAGACTTTTTTAGCGTCCACAAATGGTTTCCCGGCAACACCACTTGCGAGGGCATCCACGGCAACAACGGCGAGGCCGGGTGCATCCGCTACTGCGGCGATTTACCTGTGCCGGCCGTAGACGGTGCGGCCTCGAGCTGGACTAAAGAGAGGTTGATAGCCATTGATCATAATGAAAAGAGTTTTAGCTATGAGATATTAGATTGTAATATTGGTGTCAAGTCGTATGTTGCAAATGTGAAGATTTATCCCGTGGTGGCCGGAGAGAATGGTGGCGGATGTCGGACAGAGTGGCGGTTTACTGTGGATCCGGTGGAAGGCTGGAGTTTGGAAGATACGGTGAGAAATTACGAAGTATGGTTGAAGATTATGGTTAAGAATATGGAGGCAGCCGTACCCAAATAAACACCTAAGAGAGTACTTCTAAATGGGACTAGACGTGCTCGATATATTATTGCTGAATCTTTCTGTTTTATTTGAAGAACTTTTCGTTTCATAGTTTCTTGTTCTATAATCGAAATAAAATGATCTGTGAAGAAATTTGTCTCGGCGTCATTTCTTGTTATAATACGATAAGTTTATATGCATGAACTATGCTTTCAAGTAATTGTGTGTGACTAGAAGTATTTTTCACTTATTCTTGGTATACAATTAGTTTAGTTCATAATACCTTCTTTCTTTTAAAATAAAAATAACTTTAAAACTAAATTTAGAATAAGTAATTAAAATATGAATATTATTACTTGTACATAACGAGTTATATAATGATTTATATACCCATGTGGTGTTAAAAAGAGAGCAATGAGATTACTTGTACATAAGCAGTTATATAATGATTTTCATAAACACGAGATGTCAAAAAGATATTGGATAAGCTTTTTTTAAAAAGAAATTTTAACTCAATCATATGTCACCACATCATGTGTATGCAAACCATTGTGTAAACTTATTATGTACATGTAGCACAACCATTTTTTTTCTTTTGTTTGATTGAAGAAATTTCTAATTCAATCACATATCACCACGTCGTGTATATGTAAATCATTATATATATACAACACAACCATTAAAATATAATTCTAGTTATATTTAAGCACATCCAAACGTGGACATATCCACCGTCCATGTATGGTAAATATATGGATACGATAGCCCAAAAGGTTCGCTTACGAGGGGAAGTTGAAAACGCGAAAAGATATTGTCCGTAAGCCTACCTGGGTGTGACCGACAACTTATATTGGACCATGCTAAAGCGGTGTAAATATAGAGATCTAGGCCCATTGGCCCAGGTTAATAGGGGACCATTTTACGACAGGGAAGATTACATATTCAAGAGTATAAGTTTAGTCTATTTCAAAAATAAGAACACAAGTTTAAAATTACCAAAATCAGATTTT